TAAAACGAAGAAGTTATAACTGTTTGAAGTTGGAATGGAAAATGGTTAAAGTTGGAATCTGTGAAGTACAGTCACCGCAATGCAGTGATGTTTCTAGAACAAATATTTAATATGTTAAGCCCTTTTTCTCGAACTCATTTCACAAGGTTTGATCTAGAGCTTTGCGGGGGCAATTTTTGAACGTATGAGGTTGTTTGGAGATGGCTAGAATCAAGGGAAATAAGTGCATCAATTGGAGATTTGGATATGATGGTAGTTAGTTTTCACTAACTAACAATGTGAGTTATAACTATCAGTAGAGTATGATTATATGATTTATAATCTTATAAATGAGTATAAATGCATGATTAGATGTTAGTGTTATTATGTTAAATACCTACAAGTTAGAAGAATGCTTAGTTTTAGTACTTAATAAATTGAGTACTAAATTGATATAAAAGATTTCTTAATGAAATGAGATGGTAGATTGTTTATGTGCCACGTAGCATGAAAGACTATGGAACGACCATAACATTCACATGAAAGAATATGAGAATGCAGAAATGTGATTCCTTCAGGAATAGAGATATGTAATTCCTTCGGGAATGTAGAAAAATGATTCATTCAGGAATGTAGAAAGATGATTCCTTTGGGACCTCAAGAAGGCTACAATAGTGCCTTAACCATTACACCATACTTCCTTTTGTGTTTTAAATCCATCGAATTAACACACACACACACATACACACACACACACACACACACACACACATATATATATATATATATATACTAGTCGTTTACCCGCGCCATGCGACGGGTGCAAATAGTTTTTTCAGAAATTAGTTTCTAGAAACAATTAGTTATTTTGCACAAATAGTTTACTACATCTAAAAGATTATTAATAAAAGTAAATTTAACATAAACGAAATCAATAAGAATTGAAAATGAAAAGTTGGAAATGCTTACAAAGGTATATGAATACATGATATATTGTGTAATATTAATCATGCAACACTTCTTTATACACCACATTTGATGTATAAACTTCACTGTCGTTGAATTGTTCGTCATGCTTCATTAATATTTTTATTAAATGAACCCATATAAACATGTAATACAAAACTAATAAAATTTCATTTTAATTTTATTAATAAGAAAAAACATGTGCTATTAGATTTTCTTCTTGGAGTGAGATTTATTTTTGATAGATAATAATTAAAACAAATAATAAAAGTAATTAAAATTACCACTTCATAAAATAAATGTTTCTAAAATATTATGTTGTGAAAAACGTGGAATAGACAGTTACAAAATGGATTCTTAACCAATCATCGTATGTTATTATGAATTTCAACCAAAAACTAAGTTTAAAATTTCCAAAAAAATTAATAAGTTCTCATTTAACTTTACGTTTACAATAACTACTCGAAAGATGATCTTTTAGTGATTGTCTAATTTTATCAATTTAGCGATTAACACTAAAATTAAGGAATTTGGTTAGCAAAAAATAAATTAAAATAACTTATAAATTAATAAAAATATGTCATGTATTTACAAATCTTTTACAATGTTTCGTTCATACAGCTACTTTAAAAATAATTATTATACTAATTAATTTATTTATTCAACATAAGGATGTATTTCAACTTGAATCTATAACAATTATTGGTCTACGAATGGTTAAGTATAGTGTAACCTACATATATTGAACAGGGTACGTAATAAAGCAAGTAAGTAATTTTTAATAGATTTGTTATGATAGTTTTGACCATGTTAAGAAATAATAAAACTCGTTAAACTCATTTTTATTCCTCGTGCTGCAATACTTATATTTAATTTTACAAGTCACCTTCTTCAAAATCCAATTATCCATAATGAAGGTCAAACAAAGAGTACAGATCTAAGTAGAAACATCTTGTTAGGAAACAATTCAACAATAATTACCAACTATCAAATCCACTATCTTCTTTCCCAATACTCGAACAACTGGACCAACAGAGAGTACAACTTCTAAAGCTCTTGTCACTTTCATCACCACAATTAGCCTTCAAAATAGTAGTTAAAATCTGAAATTGTTTGAAATTACACATAAGCATGTCCTTTTCTACTATTAAACCTCCAATAAGAACGAAATTGCATAGCATAATTGCATAAGAACCAAACTTCCTTTAAAATCCCCCATGTATCTTCTTCCATACCAACATTTTTCTACCTGCAAACTTCAATCTTCAGGAGTACACTACCAAAAATACCCTTGAGAAATCTACTTTTCATTATTTATGAAATAAAAAAATGAGAAATAAATGATGACAAAGACTAATACCATTTCCCATAAATTATATCTTTTTTCCTGCATTTTTCTCCTTTTAAGCAGATACCAAATATACTTCTCCTAACCCTTTTCAAGCCAATCTAAAACTGCCCCCGGAAAACCAGGGAAATCCATTGTCTTCTAATAAAAACACACACCTATAATTAAAAATAAAATCAACAAACTTGAAAATACTAACCTTGAAAGAAAAAATCATAACTGTCTCAAAACGAATAAGGATTGTTGAGTGGCTTTTAAGTTCTTATACCTTATTTGTTTCCAAACCAACATGAACATGACTATTATATGATTTAATCTTGTTATCAACTGGTTTCTGTAGTATCCCAACCTGCACATGATTCACTAAGTTTATAACCAAATAAATAAGTCTTAAAAACATTATTATAGTAATTTTGTAAAAATACAATAACTATCAAATGTTTTAACTATCATAAATTTACAACAAAAGGAAAAAAGGAATCATGAAAATCAAAAATCTTCATTTGAAGTACCCGTAAACAAAAAACAATGTTTGCATATATTCAGATTATATTTACTTTCCATGTGTGTGTCTTGCAATTAGCCATTTTCCTAAGTTAGCTTCAATGTCTAGTCTATATATTGTAATCTAGAGTTCCTTGTATCGTGTGGTCATCAATAAACATGGATATTCCTACCAAATATAGCAGAGTATCCTTATTGGAACCCTAGCCAAATATAACATGGTATCCTAGAAGATCAAGGAAATAGTCAGCATAAATTTCTTCATTGCTATCACCGGAGGAAAGGAGATGAAGAGATGCATGTTAAGTTGAAACTTCAGTGTCAGTCTGAGAAGGGTTAATGTTGGAAAATATGCCTGGAGAAAAAAAAAATCGAATCAATACATCCAAAAACATATAGAATCAATAAAACCAAAAATAATTTTGGAGAATAAATTAGCTTTCTTACCTGGTAAGTATGCGATAAGGAAACATAAACATGTTTGTGCGTAGTTTGATGGATATTTACAATCAAAGAGCATTCCTTCGTTTTATAGTGGTCAACATAGCCATCGATCCCATACACTAAACAGAAGCAGAAAAATCAAAAGTGGACATAAAATCAAATAAACCCAAAATAAAAAAAGAAACAAACATTCAAAATTTTGGTTAACTGAACAATAAATCGATAAAATATGTTCCGTGACCATCCTCGATTCTTTTATTAAAAGATGGGTGAGCATAGACAGAGAAAGAAAAGGTGATTGGTGGTAGCGGGTTTACCTGACGATGGGGGGATGAAGGCGGTCAGTTTAGCAACAACGCAGGAGTGGTGGTTGGTGGTGGTTGTAAGATAAAGGAAGTGGTGTGTGGGTGTTCGTTGTGCCTATGTGTACATATAGTGAGATAGAGATGGAGGAATAGAGAAAGGTTGAATGGTGAAGTGTATGCGTAGATTGTGTATGTTGGGCAAGCTGCAACGATTTTGAAGTAGCAATGGCGGCTGATGTTTGCAGGGGTATACCGGAGGTGACGAAAAATACACAGGGTGATGGAGTTGTAGCCTTAGGTAGGGTTTTGTGATGGTGAATGTTTGGGTGGCGAAGGAGGTTGTGGGTATTCTTTCAGCTTCCGGTCAATTTACAGGATGACATATTTAAATTTTTGAAGGGAGGCACATGGAGTGGACGGGATCAGTGGATAGTTATAACTCACAACCCTAAAGAAATACATAACGGGGAAACATTCAATTTCTACAAAAAAAAATAAGGAAACGACCGAGATTCCGGTCCGATTTTGGGGGGAAGGCCAGATATATGGGAAGGGATAGAGGCGTGTTCATTGACTTGGGGTTTTATCATTTGAACATTTAAATTTATAATATTATTTTATTTATAACTGGTTGTACTTTAGGCTTATAGACTTCATCGTCTTAAAAAAATAATATTATTATAATGAATCTATTTATAGAAATAGGTAGATTTCTTTTATAAGATACTATATATATATATATATATATATATATATATATATATATATATATATA